CCCAAGCTGCTTTTTGGTAACAGTATTTAATCACAGCAACAGGTTAGTAATTAACTCACTGTAACAAAGTAGCCAACCACACTGACTCATCTCATCCCCCTGTAATCACTTCCACCCCACGGGTATCTGCCACTCCAGGACCCTGCTTGTCAGGTGTAGACTAATGTACACTGTTACATCTACTACTTCTTTCCGTGTTGATAACCAGTGAACTCCATAAAGGGCAAGGCCTTTTCATCTTCCACTTTATTTCCAGTGCTCTGCCTACATGTGTGTAAGAACTGTGTGTGCCTGGTCCCTGCAGATGTCAGAGGAGGGTTTCTGAACACTCTGGAACTGGGGATACAGATGGTTGTGAACCACCATTACTGGAAACTACACTCAGGTCTTCTGTGAGAGCTGAGTATTATTAGACTCTGAGCCATCTCTCCAGTCCCATTATTCCAGGTTTATATCAAATATCTGTAGAAAGACAACTGAACCTTCTTAGTAAGACATTCTTTACAGAAAACGGATACAGAGGCAGGCATGGAGGCATGCAATGATAATTTCAAACACTTGAGAGACTGAGGCAGGAGGATCGCTTGACTGCGTGGTCAAGGCCTGCCTGAGCAATATAGTGAGCTCAGTTCCATCTGAGATTCATGGGACCTGGTCTCATACAAAATTCACTACATACGAAGGTCACTCAGATGAGCGATACATTGGTGGCCTCTTGGGGGCTTTGCTGTAGATAATAGCTCTGCCCTGTGGGTTCGGGTGATAATAGACAGCCTGGCTTACATTCCAGGGACTCTTAGGATCAATTCTGAGAAAAATGACTCTACAAATGACCCATACGGTGAGCAGAAAAGGACAAAGAAGCCTGGTGTCTCTGTATATAAGCATTGCAATCTTTTCCTCTTAACCGCCAGGCTGAAGACACCTCACAGTCGCCAGACCAACACAGCTCGGAGCTCAAGGAAACAGCACCGGAATTCAGGAGATGCTGCCCCCTGTGTTCCTGACACTGATTGAGGGCGTCATCCCCAACCAGCCAGGTCACATGGACATGAAGGCAACGGTGACATAAACTACGGGGAATGTGGTCCCTGTGTTCCTGACACTGATTGAGGGCGTCATCCCCAACCAGCCAGGTCACATGGACATGAAGGCAACGGTGACATAAACTACGGGGAATGTGGTCCCAGTGCTCCACACTCAGTGTCGAAACTGTGAAAATGAGCACTTAGGAGAGGACCCGAGACACGCCGGTTGGTACATTTAAAAATCAGTCCTAAACAGAAATGTCGACATGGTCAAGGACACAGGAACTCTGGGAAATAGCCAAGAGGAGGAGAGCACATCACCCACAAAAGATGTCGCTCACTCCCTGCCACGGCGGTCAGCCTGCCCGTTCCTTTTCGGGGTGGTGGGATGTGTCTGTTTCCCTCCGACAGGGCAGGGCTGAGTGGCTGAGTGGACTGCAAAAACAAAGGCATTTTCTCTGTCTGCCTGTTACAGAGAGGGCCTCTGGGGCCTGTTCTGAGCTACTGGGTGGCACAGAAGGGGGGGGGTGTGTCATGGGACCAGGAGTCTCCTCAGTAGGGTCTCCTCCCAGCTCTGACCTTGCCATTCTACACACTAGACTAGCTCCATCACTGTGCTGTGGGAAGAGCAGAAAGCAAACATGGAGGCAGATGTGGGGATGGATGATGCATGCTTGCGATCCCACCTGGGAGGCGGAGGAAGAGGCAGGTGTTTTGCTGTATGTTGGAGGTTGGTCAAGGAGAGAGGGTGACACCTTGGCCCTCAAACACAAAACAAAACAAACAATATAAGCCAAGCATTGTGACTCAGGCCAGCACGCAGCACTGAGAAAACTGACCCAATAGAACCATGGTAATTTTGAGGCCAACCTGATCTACTAAGAGTAAATTCTAGGCTCGTGGGAATACATGAGACCTCGTCTCAAGGTAATTATAACGAAGAACAAATAAAGTGTTGTGTAACTGTTTCTCCAAGATTGAAACATTCTATCCTTCAGGGGAAGCTTCTCTAGAAATAAGAAAACAACTCAAAATAGCACAGGAAGTCCCTGAAACTGACTAGATTCTCTAGACTTGTCCCTGCCAGAGTAAGCAATAAAAGCAGAGTGCCTCTCAGAAAAACTAAGCTACAGAGACGACTCTCAGACAGGACAAGCGGCAAACTCTGAGACCAGAGTCAGCAGCCTGGAAGATGCAGAAACCAGCAGAGCTGCCTGGAAGATGTGTAGACCAACTGAGTCACTTGGAAGGGACACTCGCCAACCTCTTAATCTGCTTGCAGGCTGTGTGTGCTGTGTTCCCGGTTCCCAGCCTTTTGGGAGCTGTCACCTGTGCTGGCATGGGATTTGGTAATATAGCTGTTTTTGAGTCATTTCTGCCCTGGTAAGAAACCCTCACCCATATACTTGTAAAGAATGACAATACAACCCATTAATTCACCAAGTTGTACTCCGGTGGTCTCTGTCATGGGTTCCCCATCTGAGGTAAGGAGACTTTTCCGACTTTTCCCCAGGGACAGTTTTATCAACAAAAGGACAAGACCCATACTAACTTCTACAGGTAATCTTCAAAGAGGCCAATAACCAGAGCTCAGTGTGTGCATGTGTGTGTGTGTGTGTGTGTGTGTGTGTGAGAGAGAGAGAGAGAGAGAGAATGTGTGCAAAAGGACATTGAAAGCAAGGTCCATAACAATACACACGTGTCAAGACATTACACTCAAGGTTTTACAGAGCAGACGGGGGTAGAAAGCCTTCTGACTTCTCAATGAAAACCTGACGTGTTGTGAGCAGACACTGTAATCAGTGTGGAAAATAGGCCAGCCAGTACCTGGGGACTGACCGGATAACTTAGTGTCTACATGGAGGAAATGAGTTAGTTCTCCAACACAAAGTCCACATCTACATGGATGATGTTTAAATGAAATAAAAAACCTTGACATAGAAGAACGATCAAGTGATGAAACCTTTAAAACATAAAAGCAAAACCCACAAAATGAAAACAATAACTCTATACTAAAATCAAATGCCTGAGTCAGGTGGGTTTCCCCACGCCTGCTACCCCAGCACTTGCAGGAAGATCAAAAACCCCAAAAACCCATATGTGGTGGTGCATGCTTTTAATCCCAGCAGAGGCTAAAGCAGGACTCCCGAGTTCAAGGCCAACCTCGTCTCCAGAGCAAGTGCCAGGACAGCCAGGGCTACACAGAAGAACCCTGTCTCAGAGGACCTGCATTAGATTCCCAGCACCGGCATAGTGGTTCACACCCATCCAGTTCCAGGATCCAAGGCCCTCCCTCTTCTGACCTCCTGGGGAACCAAGCACACACATGGAGCATACACATACATGTAGGTGAAACATGCCCAAGATAAAATGAATGAACCTGAAAACAATTAGATGCTTCTTTCCCAAGAGATGCCCAAAAGAGACAGGGAAACTACCTGCAATACATTTATCCTATAAAATGTGGGACTGACATCAATCAGGCAGTGGTGGCACAAGCTTTTAATCCCAGCACTCAGGAGGCAAAGGGGGGGGGTGGATCTTTGTGAGTTCGAGGACAGCCTGGTCTACAATGTGAGTTCCAGGACAGCCAGAGAAACCTTGTCTTGAAAAAACAAACAAATTAAAAGAAAGGAAGGAAGGAAGGAAGGAAGGAAGGAAAGAAGGAAGGAAGGAAGGAAGGAAGAGGGACTGGAAAGATAACTCAGGGGGTAAGGCCACTCGCCAACAAGCCTGACCTACCCAGCAGCCCTAAGTTTGTTGTTCAAACCATCCCTACCAACTCCCGAAGGCTCCTAATGAATTGTATTTTCTGCAATTGTTCTTTGCACTGGAACCTTCTCTGCCTGTTCTTTACCAAGAGATGCTAAGGATTAGGGATAATGAAAATAAAACCGAGCACTTCCAAAGGTCTGCCATGAGGCTTAGGACCACTGATCAGTCTTCATCGAGGGAGGGCAAGCATCGCCAAGCCTTTCCCTTCAGTTAATCCTGAATCAACCGCCTACAGACACCAATCCGATGGTGACAGACTGTCACAGGAAAGATGGCCTTGACAACTGGGAGGATGAAGGGAGCCAGGAATGATGCTGGGACGTGGTGGGAGGGGGCAGTGAATGGGGACACGGGGACTGTCAATCAAACCACACACTAAAAGCCTCAAAGAAGCAGGCTAGAGGCAAAGCCAACTGTGCAAGAGCCCAGGTCCAGCCTCCAGCAGAGTGGAATGACATTTGGGGGCATACAAGACCGCTCAGTGAGGGGGAAGGCACCTGCTGCCACGCCCCTGCGTGCCCACAGTGCACCCCCCAGAACCCACACAGTAGAAGAGCCCAGTGTGGCAGTCATGGCTCTGGAAGGCCTTGCCCTTCCCCCCATTTCTTCTGCCCAGCTTAAAACAAACAAACAAACAAAAAAACAGTAACAACAACAACAATAAGAAAACATTCGATTCCATTCCTAAAGCTAGACACCAAGGTCTGGGCTCTCATTCGGCTGCTTCTTCCTCCTGACTACCAAGGTCCAGTTACCCAAGTACTGAAGGCCAGCAAACAAAACCCTCCTTTGGCTCACCTGATTAACACACCCAATTAAAATTAAACACTTGGTCCTAACACAAGGCTTCCCCTTTTACCTTACAAACTGTCATTTGCCTATGGACATCTGTCTCCTCGCTATCCAAAGGCAGCCCTTTGTGTCCCCCCATGCCACCCCTGGGACAATCGTCCCTCTTCCCCTCTCCTTATTTTCCCTTGCCCTTTGTCCTTGTGGGGCAAATAAATCTCCTGTGCGCCAAGAACGTGGTTTCGGGGTGTCTTGTGCTCATAAGGGTCTCTTCGGAACCAGCTCCCATCATGTTCTCTGACCTCCACACACACACTGTGGCACACACATGCTCAGTCATGCACACACGTACACACACAAAGGCTTTTGAAACCGTAAAAACCTTCCCCCAAACAGAGCCAGGGTTACCTCGGTGCCAATAAACGTGGGGCGGATATAAAGACTGGCAGAGGTGGAATAGGGAACCCACTCTTGGTCTATCTGTATAAGCTGCCGAATGCATTCCAGAAGCTCCTCCTTGTCAAACACCTGCAAAGACAGAGTCCCCAATGAATGCCAACAAAGGACACAGATGTGCACTTTCCAATAGAGGACTCCCAGAAACTCCGTTTCCCAGATGGCTCCCCATGTTACGGTCCCTGCACAAGCAACTTTCATTCACTGTCCCCCAATACGAAACACACGAAAGGGTTCTGTAATGAATGCAAAAATAAAAATAAAAACCTGTGAATCCTGTCGGCAAAATAAAAAAGTATGTAAGTATGAGTTAGTTATGCATAAAGAAAAGATTTTTAAAAAAAATAGGTTCCCTAAGGCTTCAAGATGGCTCAGCATATAAAGGCGTGTGAGCCAAGCCTGATGAGCTGTCTTATCCCCAGAACCCACATGGTAGACAGAAAGCAAACTTGTCTTCTGAACTCCACTCCTGCCTACCCCCTCCTCCCCCCGAAGAAACAAATAAATGAGATTTTTTGGTAAAGAAATTAGATCCCTATTTACCATACCTCCATATCAGTTATGATTAGGTTTTATACTCAAATGTAACAAATTATGATTTTCATTTCAAGTGGATTACTGTGGTCTATTATCAAACCCTTAAATTAGTTACAACTGGATTTTATAGTCAAATCTAACAAAATATTATGGCTTCTACTTAAAAATTGGCACCTGTGACCTCTCACAGTCTCAACTGTAACTGGATATTATGAATGAGTATAAGAAAACATTAAGACTTCTGTTTTAAAAACAGATGATATCTGCAACTTTAAGGTTCAAAACAACTTATTACCCAGGAAACATGAAGCACAACCCCTGAAGGAAAATAAAAGATAAAATCTGCCTGTTTGAAACTTAAGGACTCCTGGTTTTTCAAGCTCGGAAGCTGCTAGTGAGGCACCAGTTACAGCATCCTTGGGGGACTCCTCCCTGTCCCTCGGGGGTCAGACAGGCTTTGTAAAATGGTCAGGCAGTTTCCGTGGGGAGGGAGGGACACTTTCAGAGACATGATGGCTTGCTGAAGGGTGACCTTTATCCATGGCCATACTGCAAGGTTGTCAGCCAGCTACACTGCTAACTCCTGTCTTCAAGTCAGGACTTGGGTGCATCTGGCCAGAGATGAAGTTTAACAACGCCATGAATTCTTGCACTGGGAAATCAAAGAAACCTCAGCCCACGTCCTTGCCCTGCTGGGAGACCTTCGGTAAGTGGTTTACTCTTCCCAGGGTGGCTTTAATTTTCTTCTCAATACAAAGGCACTAAAATTTACTATAAAAGCTTTAAGACACTTGCCATCAGCCCATGTGGTCAAGAGAAATGGTTCTTGCAAGGTGTCCTCTGACCGTTAACTGAAGGGCGCGGCATTCATACAGTTTGTTGAAAAACCTGATGCAATTATTCAGGAAAGATTTGTGCTTTGCTGCAGAATGACTAATGAAACTGAAGAGCATACCGGCAAAGTGGCCCTCAGAGCGGATCGGCACATCCTGTTCATGTTGAGTTCGGGTCGAAACAACCGGATCTTATTATCAACGCCTCGAAAAGCCTTCAACCCTTCAAATAGCTGAGAGAAAGAGAAAGGCGTCAGTCAGAAGAAGGCGGCTGGAGACAATTTTAGTGGGAAAGTCGCTGCCCTCGGCCTCAACTTCAGATGAACCAGTTGACAAAACATGCGAAATACCTGGAATGGAGGGGGGGGGAGGGGAGGGAAGGGGTCCTTTCAGTACTGGACCTGATCAGGAAGGGAAGATCCAAAACATCCTGATAGCACCTCCACCCACTCCTGGCCAAGAGCTGAGAATGCACCTTTGGCAGGCTGAGGGAGGGAGGGGAGGATTGGGAGAGGGGGAAGAGGAGAGGGGCACAGGAGACTGTAGTGAGATAGTCCTTCTGTAGCACTGACCACGCCCATTGGGGGTGGAGCCATGGGCAGAAGTGACCTGTAGAAGGAGGTCGGAGGGGGCCAGGGAAGGCTCTCTCTGGCGTGACTCGGACAGGAGAGGATCGGGTTGAATTTCCTGGTGTTCATCTGTCTAGGTTGTAAGTTATTTCTCCCTGAATAAACATCTGTTCGGCCTGTTTGTTTATCCTGATCCTTATTTACCGCGATAGGAGACCAACTGCGGGTCTCCTCTTTAGAGACAGCCCTTCCTCAAGGTCCTGCTCATGCAAGGCGGTTCTGCCCATCTCACCACCCGACGGGAACTTAAACCACACACACACACACACACACACACACACACACACACGCCAAGATTCCTTCCCGACAGTGCCAAGCTCCCACAACACAGTGACCCCTGCCTCCCTCTGCCGTCCAGGCCCACGGCAGGACAAGCTGGAAGACCCATCTCACCAGAAGGAAATGGAGAAGTCCAGGGGCTTCTTCGGGTTAATCCAGAACACTGGGTCACCCTCAGAGGAGTCCTCACCCTTAAAATAGCTGTGTCCATTTATTAATCTGTAATGTTCAGTAGTTTGGAAAACAAGTGATCGCCAGAGCTAGAAGGGTCAGCCTCCAAAGGCTGACATCACAGCCTCAAAGTGCTCAAGCTGACAGAAAATTCTAGTTGATTTCTTTCCCCTCTTTTTTTCAATTTAATGTATATGGGTGTTTGCCCACATGTATGTGTGCACAATGTGCGCATGCCTAGTATGTTTGGAGGCCAGATGAGGGTATCTGGTCTGCTGGAACAAAAGTTACAGGTGGCTGTGAGCCAGTAAGAACCTGGGTCGTCTCCAGGCCGGAAGTACTTTTAAGCACTGGGCCACCTCTCTGGTCCCTCTTTTTCTCGGTACCAAGTACTGATCCCAGAGAGCCCTGCATGCAAGCAAGCGCCTGCTCTGCCAACTGGCTACAGTCTTAGCCCTCAAAATTCCAATAATCCCTTCCCTTCAGCAAGAATGTAACTGCTGGTAACAAAAGTTCCCTATCATTTTACATGAAATGATAGAGCCATTTAACTTCTTCTTCAAGGGAACATCTGCTGAATGCCCAAATCAGAGAAATTATATCATTTTCCTTTCAAATAAAGTCAGTCTCCCTCAAAAAAACATGACGGGTTTGGTTCACAAATTCCCAGCCAAGGTGAGACTGCTTCCCACCAGAGCAGGCTGGGAAGTAGCTGCTTTACCGCACAGAATACTAACATGATGCTTACCGAGGGGCTGACACTTATTAAATGGACAGGATGGCTCAACAGATAAAGGTGACTGCCTGCAAGCCCAGCGTCCTGAGTTCAAACCCCGGAAGCTACGTGAGGAGAAGACTGACTCCTGTGGGTAGTCCTCTGACCTCCACAGAGGCACCATGGCAATCTCTCTCTTTCTCAATCCCTCTCTCTCTCTCTCTCTCTCTCTCTCTCACACACACACACACACACACACATGCTCACATAGATACACACAAATAAACATTATAAGCTGAGTTCAAGTCCCAGAATTCACATAAATCAAAGGCAGGCATGGCAGGTAAGACTTCTAATGGCAGCTGGAGGGACAGACAGATCCCCAGGGCTTGCAAGATAGCCAGAAGAACCTACTTGGTCCCAAGTCAATGAGTCCCTATATTAGAGAGTGAGGTGGATAATGCCTGAAGAGTGGCAGGCACATTCTCTCTCTCTCTCTCTCTCTCTCTCTCACACACACACACACACACACACACACACAGAGAGAGAGAGAGAGAGAGAGAGAGAGAGAGAGAGAGAGAGAGAGAACTGGAGTTCTCTGAAATGGTACATTAGGCTGAAGATCCCCCAGAACATTTTTAACTGGAGTTAGAATGTGGTACATCCAGAGCCCAAATCTTCCTGAGCTGTCTTTAATTTCCATAGCGATTAATTACCCACCTGTGCTTCTAACTTCATTCTTCTGACTATCAAGTAGATCACTGACCAGAACGGAAAGAACATTGTCAGCTAGCAGAACTCACTGCTTGGCTTAACCTGATCCCTGTCCCGATCAGTACACTTCATCAGTGCGCTGACTGATGTCCCCAGCGGTACATCAGTTGTGTTGACTGGTGACTTGTTCTGTGACCATGAAAGGATCCTATGACCACTTTCACGATGAGCCATGTCATTTGGGGCAACCCGATTCCGTGTGCCCAGACCATGGCCACCGTTCGGCTCAGAATAACCTAACCTCTTGCTGCCTTTGGACCACAGCTGGGCTTCACAGTGTACACCCTCCTTCATGCAAAAAGAACATTCCCAGGAGAAAAAGAGTCTCACACCCTCGGAACCACACCCCACAGCTACGACCTACCTGGGCAACTGGGCAAAAGGCCAAGGGCCATGCACACCTGGGCCACAAGCTTCCGTTCTAGATCAAATTCAAGTATGTACTTTCCCAGCACCCCCTGCCCAGGTGGCCCCCTCACCATGTCCCCATCACGGCTGGTCAGGGGCCCCCGGCACACAGGTCACAGCGTGGGTGATTACAGGCAAGTGTGGTTCAAGACAGGGTTTCTCTGTGTAGCTTTGGAGCCTGTCCTGGAACTTGCTCTGTAGACCAGGCTGGCCTGGAATTCAGAGATCCTCCTGCCTCTGCCTCCAGAGTGCTGGGACTAAAGGCGTGCGCCACCAACGCCCGGCTTGTTTTTTCTTTTATTGAAAAATAGATTTTTTTCCCTCACATAATGTACCCTGATTTACAGTTTCCCCTCCTACTCCTCCCTGCTCCCCCTGACCTTCCTTTCTGTCTCTCACTAGGAAACAGACTAACAATGAACTATAAACAAGATAAAACAAAAAACAACACATTGGAACCAGACAAAAGCAACAGAAGGAAAAACAGCTCAAATGAGGGGCCCACTTGTTTGTACACTCAGGAACCTCACAAAAACACTGAAGTGGGAGCCAAAATACAGGCAGAGAAGCAGCAGCAGGAGCAGACCGTGCCGGCCCTGGGCACGCAGCGAAGCAGGAGCCGGCCCTGGGCACGCAGAGAAGCAGGAGCAGGCCCTGGGCACGCAGAGAAGCAGGAGCCGGCCCTGGGCAGGCTGCTCTGTCTGTGTTCAGATGGATTTGCTGCTCTTGAGCTTAGGGCCCGTTCCTCCCGCGCCCTCCATCGCCTCCTTCTCAGCCAGCGTGGGGGTGGAAGGGCAGGTGTTCCCTGGGCTCTGCGGGATGTGATGGAGACATTCCACTCAGGGCTGTGTTCCAAGGTCTCTCACTCTGCACAATGTCTGCTGTGCGTCTCTGTTTCCATCTGCTGCCAGAGGAAGTCTCTCTGAGAGCCTGAGTCATTTTATTGCTACATTTTCTTTTTCCAGAACGGTAGTGTTTGGTTTTACTCTAAGCCCCTAGGCTATCTAGTCTCGGGTTCTCGGTCACCCAGGCAGTGTTGGGCCCAAGCCAGTTCTTGCCGTTCTGGTAACTTAGTCCAGCCATGAAGCCTCGTGAGGAGCTGTGCTTTTATTAGGCTGTAATAACACGGTGGAGGGTGTGGGTTTTACTCTGTGATGGAATGACTGCAATTTGAGGGCTGTGTTTGGTTTTGCTTATGTTTTCGGGCTGGAGGACAGGGCAAATGCTTGAACACCAAGTTCCATCCCAGACCTGTTAGTTTTTAAATGTAATCCCAGCTGAGGCAGGAGGATTGCTATGAGTTTGAACCCAGCCTGCCAACAACAACAACAATAATAATAGTATGAAAAGGTCTCCAAAACCCCAACTCTTTAAATCTCAAAACGGCCTTAATTCTTCCTAATTCACCTCCTGCAGACCAGCAGTTCTCAGGCTGTGGTGCCTGGGCATTTGGGTTACAGAGGTTCAGAAATGAACGGAAATCAGAAATCCAGTCTGAGAATCAGGGCCCCAGAGGCCACAGGGTTACCAGCAGCCTTCTCTGAAGGAGAATGGTCCGTTCACCCGCCATTTGATGCAAGGGGCTTGGCATGAGCAGCCTTAAGAACTCAAGAATCCCCTGGGGGAGAAACTAAGAACCCTAAGCTCAGCCTGGCATAGTGGTGCACACCTGTAATCCTAGCACCTGGGAGGGGAGTTCAAGGCCAGCTTCAGCTATACCGGAAGCCGGAAGCCAGCCTAAGTAAGCTAGGAGACCCTTCCTTAGGACACAAACCAAAGGCACTAAGGGCATTCGATCATCTTCTAGAACTAAGGACACCGCCGGGTCAGGGATCACACAGGGTACACTATTGGTAAAGTGCTGTGTGCTGTTAGAGCTCTCACAATGTAGCTCTCTCTCCAGACAAGGCTGGGGGCCCTCCCTCTTCAGCCCCAAGTGTGTTTACCCCAAGTGCCCTCCAAACCTGGAGCAAGCCAACACCCTCGCCCTGCGACAGAGAGAAAACAGCAAAGACACTGTGTCCTTGTGAAGCGCTGGAAAGTAAGGCATTGCGGCTGTTTATCCCATGTTTAAAGATGCCTGTGGTGGGAATCTGAAGCCAGAAGCTGGTTCAAGAACAGATCAGCCTGCTTTCAGCTGGGAACTCTAGCAAGCCCATTTACTCCGGGACAGTGTCTCCCATCCAAGTGCTAACCAGACCCAACCCCGCTGAGTTCCCCATGACCAGACGAGTCTGGAGCATTCAGGGTGATCCAACCATAGGCATCCCTAGGCCCTTTCTTGGGGTGTTGTGAGCACTAATCTAATGATGTGACTGACTTCTGCTTGTTTTCCCAATGGGGCTACCCAGGTTGTCTCTCCTGGATGCTATGAGCCCTATAACCTGAGCATGCTTCCCTATGTGTCTGCTGAGTCTTTGTAGCTGCCACTTGCTGTTCATTCTCTTACCTTGTGCTTTCTGTAAACCTGAGTCACTCGCTCTGAAGGGAGCGCATGGGCCATTCTTTGGACTATAGAGTAGGTCAACACACACACAGTCTCCCTTGGCTCTACAGGAGTGGTTCTCAACCTGTGATTGGAGACCCCTCTGGGGGTTAATGACCCTTTGACAGGGTCACATATCAGATATCCCGTATATCAGATATTTATATTATGACTAGTTACAGAGTAACAACAAAATAATTTCGTTTTGTTTGGGTGTTTTTGCAAGGGGAAAGGTGGGGGTCACCACAAGATGAGGAGCTGTATTAATGAGAACACAGACCCTCTCTACGGGTGGGCGGGCAGGCTCATCAAGTGAAGGACAGGCCTTACCACAGAGCCTGATGACCTGAGTGCCATTTAGAAAAGGACTCGAGTTGTCCTCTGATGTCCACATACAGCTGTGGCGTGCCCTCCACCCCCTACAATATAGGTAAATGTAATAAACAATTAAAAACAGAAGGTAATATCTGTGTATCCATCTTAGACAAAAGGATTAAGCCATACCTGACCATACTTCCCAAGCTCCATAAACCTCCAGAAGCACCTGAGATAGAAGGCAGCTAGCTCATCCCTGTCTGCCTCTAGGCCCTCAATTTTTTTTTTTTTTTTTAATTTGAAACATTTCCCTCTTTATTAAGATTATTTTATTTGTATATGTATGTGCATGGCTGTCCATGTGCTCGAGCTGTGAGCTCCCTGGCATGCATGCTGAGAACTGAAGCCAGGTTCTCTGCAAGAGCAGCCAGGGCTCCTAAGCAGCATGCCTGCTCTCCAGCCCTGAACACTGACATAGGCAACTTCTCTCTTCAGATCTCTCTTCAGTGGATCCGAGTTAAGGTGGGAAATCTGAACTCTCTAAACACAAATAATTAAATGAAAATGATCTATGTAAAGTACAAGATCCCTAAAGAGCACAGCGCTTGCATTCAGTATTCAGAAATGGTTCTCCCTTGTACCATTCAGAAATGTCGTCTCCCTTGACATTTCCCCCCTAGGGCCATTGTTCGAGCCCTTCGTAGATCAGTGTTCATCTCTAGCACCTTCATTATTCTGAAAGAAGCTATCACACAAAACGAAATGTAGGCCCAAGGGAATGGGGCAGTGTTCTGCAGACCTGGTTAACTATGTATCTATCTGCAGAGGACCAGGGATGGGATTCTGTAAGCACACAAGCAAGAAGGAGCTCATTCAATTCCATCCCTTAATGGGCAAACCCACAGGGGGTTATAACAGCAGTCAGTATGGGCCTCTCATCCTATACCCTTTCTCAGTCACTCAAAAATCTGAGAGAAACAGGTTACTTAAGAAAATAGCAATACGGCCAGGCGGTGGTGGCACACACCTTTAATCCCAGCACTCGGGAGGCAGAGGCAGGAGGATCTCTGTGAGTTCAAGGCCAGCCTGGTCTACCTACAAGAGCAAGTTCCAGGACAGCTTCCAAAGGCACAGAGAAACCCTGTCTCGAAAACAAAACAAAAAACAAATCAATACTACTTGGGACTTTGGGGCTCTCTGAGGTGTCATTCTTTGGCAAGCTTCAGTGAAGACAACAGAGCCTATCTTGGCCCAGAGAAGCTTACGAGGAAGAGACTCACAGCCGCTGGCAGCTCCCAAACACTTACTTCCACGGCATAGTGCAAAACCGAGGCGGCGGGATGTATGGATAAGTTTTCAAAGGGCTTAATGTGAGGTTTCTCCCATCCAGATGCCAGGGACCACTCCACCGTCAGCATGTGGTCAGTAAAGGAAGCTCCAAACACCAGGGTGTCGGGGTCTGGCTTTTCCTTTAAGACGGTGGCTGGTGTGATGATGAGGTCTTTGGCCTGTAAAAGAAAAAATGGGACATCGTGAGGGAAAGGGATCAGAGCCACAAGGCGCCGACTACAGGGTCCAAAGGTCCAAACATGAACAGCATCCCTGATGCTGATTTAGTTGCTAAGCATGCATGGAGGTCTGGGCTTAACCACCCCCACCTCCCCACGGCTCAAAGAGGTGGAGACAGGAGGCTCAGAAGCTCACCAACCTTGTCTAAAAAAAAAACAAAGCAACAAGTCTCAAACAACCCAAGCAGAACACTGAAACGCCGTGAGAACTCAAGAGACCAAACCTGTGCTCAGAGTTCAGCCACTTGTTTATAATATCTACCTGCATCCGGGCTGGCAAGATGGCTCAGAGAGTAAAGGAGCTTGCTGCCAAGCCTGATAACCTGAGCTTGATCCCTGGAACCCACACAGTAGGAAAGAACCGACTCCCGGGAGGTGTCCTCTGAGTCCTCTGACCCACACACAAGCACCATAACACACACACACACACACACACACACACACACAATTATTGCAATAAAAAAAAAACATTTTTAAAAAACCATAATCTTCGAGCTGGAAAGATGGCTCGGTGGGAAAGAGTTCTTGTTGTTCTTGCAGAGAATCCAAGTTCAATACCCAGAGCACCCACATGGTGGTTCACAACCATTCATACATCCAAAGTTGCTAGACATGAGATGCTGTCTTCTGGCCTCTGTATGGACCAGGCATGCATGTGGGGCAAGCACACATAAAACAAAGTGAATAAATCTAAAAATATATTTTTATAAAAACCAATGATCCCTGCAGGAGTGTGGCGGTGTACACCTGTCACCCCAGCAATCAGAAGGCCGGAGGAGGAGGAGGAGGAAGAGAGCCGCAAACGCGAAGCCAGCCTGGGCTACATACCAAGTACCAGGCCATTGAAGGGTTACATAGCAAGGCTAACTCACAAACAAATCTCTGCAATGATGTTGGCTACAAAGTCATGAGAAGCAGACCTCAGGCATGTGCCACATGGTAGGTGCAGGGGAAAGATGCAGGAAGGGCAGGTTCTGCTCCCCACTCCCACCAGACTCAAGTGGAACATTCCGGAAAGGAGGGGCATCCTCCAGGAAACACACAGCTGCAGGAGCACCCTTAAGGTGTGAGACACTGCATCTCCCCAGGGCTGCATCCATCTCCAGCTCCCCAGAGCATCCCAGGCACAAGCCTCCCACTGGGCCAGATGCACAGGGCAGAGATCACAGCCAGGAGGCACTCTCCTCTTTGAAGACAGCCAGCAAAGAATGAAGCCTCAGATGCAAGCCCTCTGTACTGGGAGGACGAGAGATCGTGAACAAAGGCCCTCCTATTCCCAGACACAGAGACAAGAACACTAGCAAACAACACACTCAGCAGCCACTCTCCACAAAGCCAGTTTAAACATCCCAAATGGCCAGAGTCGTCCCAGTTCTGATCCTTAACTTGAGAACATCTACAGAGCAGTAAAAGACAAAACCAAAACCAAAAACAACAACAAAAATCCCAGGGAGGAGAAAGCTTGGGGTGAAGGGAGGTGTCCTGTCAGACCACCCCGTCACTCAGGCTGGCTTTAAAACTCTACTTAGCTGAGGAACATCGTGCCTCTGACTCCTAAGAGTTACAGGCGAGTGCCAGCACCCCAGGTCTAACAGGTGCACCCTAGGCACGAACTCCACCAACCAGGCTCCATGCCCAGTCCCATGGGCTCTGGAAACAGAGTACTGGCAGCATTTCTCACAGAAGACACAGAGCAGCACAGGCTGAAGATGAGAGCTGAAAAGGCAAGACTGGGTTCCAGACATGCCTTAAACACTGCACAGCCAATGAGCACTGGCGGTTTAAATTTTATTATACACTCGATAGGCATGAGTGTGGGCACACGGCAACACCTGTGCGGAGCCATCACCCATGGCTATGACTTCCTTTTTAAATGACAATCGAGAATGTGCATGGGTCTTCAGCAAGGCTTCCTCTTCTCCCCTTATCAACTCACCTCCTCCAGGCAGCTACCGAGATTTACAGCTCGCCCACCCTGCTATTTTTCTCTTGAACTTTAATAAAACTGTCCTCAAGCACTAAGTTAAAAAAATAACTTCACTTTTCAATAACCATCTGAATTAGGATAATTCAAAAATTCTGTCTTTGCCTCGTCAAAACCGGAGGGCACCCACTTCTCCTTGTCCCTCTGGCTTGGTTCCTCACCATCATTTTTCTTAGTGTCTTGAGTTTTGTTTATAAGCATTAACTGCAGAGGCACTGTGGCTCAGGGAGCACACAGAATGTATGGAGGCTGCCTGAGGCCCAGCTCTTACTTCCTGTACAATGTCACCGTCAGCCAGCAACAGACACCCAGGTTAGCACAGGATTATCCCAACCTACTGATTTCCAGCTAATCTACCCACAATGCCATGGGTCACTAGAAACATCAAGTCTTTGTTCTGCTAGCAAAGGGAAGATAAATAAATAACCAGAAAAGTAGATCAAAGGGTGATCAACGCTATGAAGAACTGAAGTGACTCAGAAGAACAGGCAGGGAAGGGAACACTGGTCTTGGCTTTGCAGAGGCAGCCTTGGATTCAGAGAACAGGCAGGATTGTCTATATACATCTATACACCTAGGATTAATGTATTTCAGGCAGATGAACCAAACAGAACATAGCAAAGACCCTGCAGCAGGAATATACAGGGAGGAATGAATGAAGGACAGGGGAAAAGGTCAGTCACAGAGACCCTACAGCAAGGGATGGACCAGGATGGAGGGCTCTGCCCCTGCGCGCCAATCACCATCCAGCTCTCAGAGCCCCTGGCTCTGTTTTGCTGACTGTAGCCTTCACTGTCTCCTTGGCAGGAATGCAGTTTGCCATAAGCTCAGCAGGTTGTCAGCATAGAACCCCAAGCACCGGCCCACAAAGGGATGATCACCATGGATGCCTGCAGAGCAAGGCTGTCCTCTATTTCCTGGTAGCCTGTCAGCTGAATAAGCAAGCCAGCAGTAAGGAGAAGTAGGGAAAAGAATCTGAGGAATGCTGAAGTTTGTCCTGCTGCTTGTCCCCCGGCTTGCCCACCTCCACTCCAGTGATTTTCCAGGCCCAAGCTCTCAAGCCTGGGAGATCATCGGGAGATAGTTGGTCTGCCCAGCTTAAAAAAAAATCACTTTGAACAAAATAAAAAAATCACTTTGAGCTCCTGGCCCCTCGGAGGTTCTAGGTACATTTTGAAATGTGATCATCTTATAGCTTTTAAATTTTTCCACAGTTGTACAAGGGGGGGGGGGGGACTTGCTGTGAAAGTTAGAGGGACCTGAGTTCAAATCCCCATGTTAAGACGAGCACGGCCCACTGTATGTAATTGTATATTCTGAACCCTCTGCCTAAAATGCTTCCAGAGTTGGGCCCGTAGCTCGAGTTAGAGAACTCTGACTACTGTGTAAAGTCCTGGGCTCAACATTCAACATTGCAAAAAATAGAAAGACAGAGGCAGGGCCACCCAGTTACCCCAGGCTAAACCAAAGCACTAGACTAGAGCTGCTTAATGGCCAAGCTGAGACAGAGTACGTTTTCCCTCAAGTTGGTGTTTCTTCTGGGGTCAAAGAGACGGCTCATCGGGTAAGAGCACTTGCCGTTGTTTCAGAGTTCTGCCCCTAGCATGGTCAGGCAGCTCAGAGACAAGTATAACTTCAGCTCCAAGACCTTCCGCCACCTTCCTCCGGGCTCTGAAGACATCGCACACACAGCAACATCCATACAAACGCTTCAGTCAAAAAGAAATTAAAATTGGTGTTCTAATTCTAACTTACGAATACGAGTTGAAATTCCCAAAGATAAAATCTCCAGGCATTCCTTTCATTTGCCAGAACCAGTGTCTTCCCTGAATACCTCCCCTCTCATCCAGATTTTAACAAATAGAATGCCCTGGGTCCAGGTTTTTCTAAGTAACACAAAATTCCGTGGCCTTCATCAAATTCACCAAGACCTCAAAATTCCTTTGAGAAAATTTCTGCAATTCGGGTCTCACTATACAGCCCTAGCTGGCCTTGAGCTCAAAGACTCATCAGCCTCTATCCCCAGAGTGCTGGGATTAAAGGCAAAGGCTGGGGGAAGTAGGCAGATGGGGATGGGGACTGAAGACGCGCTCAGCAGGTGAGACCAGGGCTGCTCTTTCAGAGCTGGTTCAATTCCAGCACCCACGTGACAGCTCACAATGATCTGTAAAGCTGGTGCAAAGGAGCCGACATCCTAGACAAGTCTGTGTGGATACCAAACATGCATGTGATACATACACACCCACACAGAGAGGGAAGCATTCATACACACAAAGTAACAATAAATCTTTAAAAAAAAAAAAAATGTCAGAACCAGCAGGTGGTGGCCCACATCTTTAATCCCAGCACTCATTCAGGAGGCAGAGGCAGGCAGGCGGATCCCTCTGAGTACAAGGCCAGCCTGAGCTACGGAACCTTATCTCAGAAAGAAAGAAATGGGTGGGGGTGGGGTGGCCAGCCAAGCAATATTTACACAAAGTTTTATATCGCGGGCATTGGAAGACTACAGGAAAGCACAGCAACCAGGAAGTAAGAAACATGAGCAAAAGCCAAGCATACTAAAACAAGCTTCTGGACCAGCTATATGGTTCAGTGGGTAAAGGTGCTTTGCCTCCAATCCTGATGCCCTAAGTTCAATACCTAGGACCCACATGGTTCTAGAAGGGGCAAGCCATGCCTACAAGTTGTTCTCTGGTTTGCACGTGCACAGACCCATACTCATACAAAATAAATAAAAACACATATAAAAATACTTTAATAAAAAAGAAGAAATCAATTTTCTGATTAGATGCCCACAATAAGGAAGTTCTTGCAAACCTTCCTTGCAGAGCCCACCCAAACTTCTCTGCACTGGAAACATAGGAGTCTAGAGCCCAGGCTGCACCAATCAACATGGAAGCACGAGGCTCTCTCTGCAGAGCTCCTGCCGCTTTCCCCTCTGCTGAGAAAGAGTGCCTGGCCAGCTCAGTGCTTTTTACAGATCCTCTCTGATAACCTGAGGAGATCTGACGAAGTAACTCTACAGCTTTGGGGTCAACCAGGGGAAACTGTAGGATGCAGAGAGCGAATCTCTTTCGAAGAGGACCCTGGTGTAAGTAAGACTCAGAGGTAATAAATACAGTTCCTTAAAAGGTTGAGCTAAGGGAGCTAGAGGATGGCTCCAGGCTAGGGTGCAGGCTGCTCCTCCAGGACCCAGGTTCGATTCCCATCGCCCATGTCAAGTGTCCGTAACTACAGCTGCAGAGAATGAAATGCATCTGATCTCCACATACAGACACAGTTAAAAATAAATCTAAAGAAGAAAAAAATGAGAAAAAAGGCCTGGGAGGTGGCCTAGGGCAAAGATGCACACAGCACACGCCTTTCCAGTGGCCTCAAGTCACAATGTGGGGAGAATCAAACCCCTCCAAGCTGCCCTCCACACATGCACACGGCATCCTCCACAATAATTAATAAATCAATGAAAACTTTCAATGACAATAGATCTTCTTTTAACTTGTAAAGAAAAAAAAAAAAAAGATGGCTGCTTTCTGGGCCCAGCTAGAGAACATCACCGTCACTTTAACCATTAGTGGAGAAGGGACAGTAATAAGAATGGGACCTAGGAGAGACCTGGGAGGCAGAGAGGACAGACAGAAAATTCAGCCACAAAGATCCAGGCTAAGGGTATGAGTCAGTGAAACAGAGGCTCTGGCTTGTGTGTGCAAGAGTCCTGGGTTCAACAGCCAGCACTGGCTTCCAATAAAACCCATCCTTTTTACTCCCCAGATTACCAAAACTGTCTCAAGCCCCGCCAAGAACACTAGCAGACTAGGGGAGCATCAACACACACAACCAATTTCAGTTAACGAACACATTGCTTTCAGTATGAACTTATCTTGCACTGAATACTTTGTATAAAAGTATGAAGTCCTTTCCATTGGAAAAAAAATGTAATAATTTCTTTTCAGAAACTGACTTACTGAGTCTTTGTCTTGCAAACGTTACTAAGAGTCCAAGGCCAACCTGGTTTGCACAGAGTTCCAGGACGATCCCAAGCTTTCCAGATATTATAGGATGGAATTCTGGAATTCCAGGCAGGCCCTTCTGCAAGAACTGAGCCCCACCTCCAACAACTACAGAGGGAGGTCTTGGAAGCTACCAAGCAGTCTATTCGGATTAGCAGTTAAACCTATTGCTTAGTGCTATGGGGGATTACTTTAGTGCACCAGAAATCACAGACAAAACTCACAGTGCTCATATTAGCGTGTTTTACTATATTTTGGTTTTAAACAAAATGGTTGTGAGCAGAAGGCTTAAGATCTCGAATTCAGCTTCCCCTTCTTGTGCCCAGTGCTGTACAAAACTGATGAGTCAAAGTTTCAGCCCCTCTCGGAGCTCTGCCAGGATGTGAGGTCACAGGGACATTCTGTACTATGGATGACAATCAGCAGTGGGTATCAGAGCCAGCAAATAGGCAGAGGCAAGCAGGCATGGAGAGCTGCAAACCCTCCAGGCTGCAGGGTGGTGGATGAGGATGAAGGGCTGTCAAGACCTGAGGAGATCTGTATCTTTGTCCCTTCAGGAACTCCCCTGTGAGCATGAGGCCATGTCATGCAAAAACCACACAATTCAGATGGAAAGAAAATGCAACACTGAACCGTAAGTGTCTTCTGTGATTTTTAAGGACAGAAGACACAGTGCCTTTTTTTTTGGACGAGCAGAGGGAAGGGTTAAGCTGACACAATTTAAAAAAAAAAAAAAAGGAAAAAAAAAAACTACTCAGATTCCTATTCATCAATTGACTTTTTTCCAATAAAACATATGCTTGATAAAATAAATCAAGCAGTTTACTGCTAGGTATATTTTGTTTTGCTGACTGGTAATAATCTCGAGTTAACTTCTTCCCTCCCCAGCTGTAATTTAAAATTCAAAAAATATGTGCAAACTTAACGCAAGTTAAAAATACCCCACCCCCAATCTCAACCTGAAACCCATTACCTTCAATTTAACCTCTTGAAGATGTCTTACCCTGAAAGTCTCAGCCACTTGGGGTCCTGAATCTCCAGCAAAGGGCACCGAGCATCCATTACTGCAGTCCTTGAAAATAAAAATAATTAAATCTCCATTAAGCAAAGTCAGGTGGGTCATCTCGGGGACCTGATCAAGGGACTCACCATCACAGAAGACAGAAAAACCAAGCCTGGAGCGTCCAACACCGGGGGTCAGCTCCAGCCAGAATATTGTCCCAGCCTCCCAAACGTCTCCAGGTCTGGCTTATCTTCCAGTAGCTTAGGGAGGGGCTCGTTAAATTCCTGGTCAGCCAGGAGGCAGGGTTCACCCGCAATGAACAAGAAAGCAATTGTCTCCTGAATGTCCGAGTGAGTCGTCCAGAACGAGGGTTTAAGCCATTTATAGGGGGGGGGGGATCTTCCGAGCGCGCTCGGCCTCGTGGTCCTGTCAGTCACAGGCGCACAATAGGCAGGCTGCATCAAGTGCGAGGGGGCGCGGATTGGCTGGAACCATTTTCTCTACCGCGGGGTCCCTGGTGCTTCTGCGCGGCCAAAACCTCGCACTTGAAGAACAAAACCTCTTGATGCCGGTGGCGAATAAATAGGATACTGTAGTTCGGAATTAACCAGGGAAAGGGACAGGGACACAAAAAAGCTGGACGCTAATTTGCCACATAACTGGGAAGGAACCAGAGGCTGAGGTGGGATATTTATTTTCGGGTGGGGAAGGCTTTCCCTCACTTTTCCAGGTCGTGACACCCGCAGCCCTGGTGGTGTCCAAGTCCCTGTAGCGACCCTCAACTGCTCCCCGTCCCCGACTGTGACCCCCAACATCGCTGATGACGACTCCTGCGTCCCCAGTGAAAAAGCATGAGTTTCCCTAAGTCCCAGTGGCGAGCCCCGCATGCCCGGTGGAGACCCCCAGGATAACCCCAAAATTCCCTGCAGACACTAGCAGCCCCCGAGTCCCAGTCCCCGGTGGCGACCCGCAAGCACCCATGCATGAATCATCTCCACCCCAGTCCCCTCCTGGCAACCACCGCAGCGACCCTGAGCCTCCAGTCCCTGCGTCCTCCGTGGCGACCCCCGAGCCTCCCGTGGCAGGCCCTCGTGACCCGGGGCGCCCTGCTGTGATCCCCGAGAACTTCGTGGCGCCCTCCGGCTGTGACCCCCGAGTGAGTCCCCCGCGGGATGCCTGCTGTCCTGGCGCCCCCTCGCCCTTCATCGTGCCGGTACCTGGCGTGCCAGGGCTGCAGTTGCCGGGGGCAAGCAGGCCATGACGAAGCTGCGGGCGCGTGGCAATGCGTGGCGCACGGCGAATCCCGCGAGCCCGGGGCTGCTGCTCCGCGTGGCCGGCACTGGCGGACGGAATGGAGAGGCACCGGCGGGCACCCGGCACAGGGAGGAGCGCAGACGCTGCAGCATCTCCGCGTCGTGGGTGCGTGCAGTCAGTCACGCGGGGCTGAGCACGCGTGTGGAGGGCCCAGGAACGCCGGCGTTTTACTCAAGAACTCTGCGGACCCGGGGCATCTCTGCGACTCACTTACATCACAATGGCTTTCTCTGGGACTCCGGGGGTGGGTAAAGGACCAGGGTTTGCAGCTGGGGAACTGACATCTGTGCCTGGGCTTTGGGACTGACACCGTCTGACTTAGAGACATGAATCTGGTTTTCCAGGGCTGCGTCGCAATGCCTGTGACCTAGCTAGCCTGCTGCCAGCCTCGGAAGTCATCTCTGTGAGGTTTAGCTTGTGCAGGCCGAACAGCGAGCGTTCCTGCTAGCGTGGTGGCTGTCGCTTTTAACCCTAGCACTTGGGAAGCTGATGAAAGATGACCCGGCCAGTTCTTGAAAGCCTTGGAGGGTGGATCCCTACCGCCGGGTCAGCTTTGAACACCACCCGCTGTTTCCCAAGTAAAACTAGAAAGGAAGTTTCGCAGCTTTCCCTACCAGGGATTTAAAATTCTGTTTGCAAAGGTAGAGCCATCAGAACTCTGTGGAGACCTTTTAAAGGAGAAGTACTTCCTCCTGGTCAACAAAAGGAAGGAATCTTAAGCCCTCAGTCAGAAAGAGAGGAATTCTGTTTTTTTTTTTTTTTTCCTTTATTTTGGTTGTTGTTTTTGTTTTTTAGTTGTTGTTGGGTTGTTTTGTTTGTTTGTTTTTCATGACAGGGTTTCTCTGCATTGCTTTGGAGCCTGTCCTGTAACTCCCACTGTAGACCAAGCTGGCCTTGAACTCATAGAGATCCGCCTGCCTCTGCCTCCCCAGTGCTGGGATTAAAAGCATGTGCCACCAACACCCAAGAGAAGGGAATTCTGACCTGCCCCAAATATTAGAACTTTAAATACTACTGTCTCCTCCCTAAGGACTTAACTAGTTGGGCCTGCCAGTCCCCTGGCCAGGATAGGATCTATCACAGCAGGGCTCTCCAAAAAGCTGGAAGTTGGTTTACTTAAAGACCCAACTGCAGTACTCTTGGGCCTAGACATCTCATTGCTTATGCATGTTCGTGGCCGCTGTGTTCATTACAGCCAGGAATTGCAAACAGTTAACTGATGAATGAATAACAAAGTGTGATACATGTACACGAAGAAAATTATTCAGCTGTTAAGGAAAATGAGATCTGCAGGTAAATGGATGGAGTGGGAAACAGCCACCGTGAGGTAGCCCAGATCCCAAAGACAGGTACTGAATGTTTTAAATGTGAATGTCAGGTTTTTGCGCTTTAAATACTTGTTTCAGTGAATAATCACAGACCATAGGTAGCTTGTAAAGGAGCAGGGAGATGAAGCGGATCTTCCCAGGAAAGAAGAGATAGACTATGGTATTATAAAGAGAAAAAGGGCAAATCTAGACTAGGATTGAGTAGGGATAGAGATGGGAAGAAAAGGAGGGACCTCAGGGAGCAGCAAATCACACCAAAGGCCATTTGCAAAGCCACATGGAAACCTGCTACTACAGAAACTTCCTAAAATAAACACACATATCAAGAGAACTTAAATGGGGTCACCATACAATGGGGGAGACAGTGCCCAACTAGACATCTTATGCCACCAAGTAAAACCTCCAGTGCCAGGAAAAGGTTCTGCCTTGTTGACTTTTTGCCCCATGGAGTCCCAAACATCCCAGGTTATTGGTTTCTCTCCATAACCCTGAAGAGTCATATTGCTGAAGACACAACTTATGTCACCAAACATGGAGAAACGGACCCAGCGCCCAGCTGATGTCTCATCCCTACTGACTGCCCCACATGGTGCCGGAAGGTTCTATCAGAGGAGAACGATGACCACCAGCGACCCCCCAGCAATGAACCCGTGGCTCCAACAGCAACCTGACTACAAGACACACAGTGCCACAGATGTCACAGTTGGGGCCCCCAAAATGGCAGCGCAGGTGGCAAAGTCCTAAAGAGAGTGACTCTGACTTGACCAAGTAAACAAAAGGATTGTTTTGGGGCACAAAGAACTGTAAAACTCAGCATTCCAGCTGGGCATTGGCACACGCCTTTAGTCCCAACACTCAGGTGGATCTCTGTGAGTTTGAGACCAGCCTGGTCTACAGAGTGAGTTCCAGGACAGGCTCCAAAAAAAACCTCAGCATTGGAGGGTTTCTGTTTGCTAGGAAAGCCACTACTTCCCTAACCCATCCTCTGGCAAGGGCATCTAGTTCCAGAATAAACTCACACTAATTCCCAGGCTTTTCTGGCCCACAGTGCTCCCTCCCTGTCTCCGTAAAACTGACAAGGCTTTTCCTGCTCTGTCCACACAATGCCCTCTGCCCAGACAGCCCAGAAGCTTGATTCCTCAGATAAACTCATCTTTCCACAGCCATTTTTCTCTGTTTATTAGATTCAAAGGCCCACTGTATGAGATGGAACCCATACATAACACTACGTAAGCAGCCCAGAACCCGAGACTAAGTAGGTCATGGGCCTAGAGGAAAATTTACTACTACTATTCTGCTAAAGGACGGCAGCAATAAAATGACTCCTAATGACATATCGCCATGCCCACAGAGCAGGGTGTCACTCCACGGCCGTCCATTGCACTGGATGGTAATTAACAGAGACCCACAACTGGACAGTGTGCAGAGGCATTTCACCAAGCCCCTCCCCTCGAGGCTGAGGGCTGGTTGTATGCAGAGGAGGAGGTGGAAAGATTTAAGAGGCAGAGGTGGCGGTGACTCATAGGAGCCGGGTCAGCCAGAGAAAACAGGCCTTGATGCTCACGTGAACTCACCGGGGATGTGACAGCATTCAAAAGACCTGCACAGGTTCAAACCGGACAAATTCCTGGCACTGAGATGGGGAAAGGGACACAAAGACCCACCCCGACCAAGAAACGGCACAGCTAACGCATGCTGGGAGAGGGAATATCTGTTAGCTCCAGCGTAGTGTTCGAGGTACATCCATACTCCAGGGCAGGTCCCTTGCCCGACGCAAGACGGACTCTGTTTCTGTTTTGTTAATAATTTTTAGTTTGTTTTGATTTTCCCTGGTTTGGTTTGGTTTGGTTTCATGAGTTTTTTGTTTGTTTTTGTTTGTTTGTTTTGTTGTTTTTTCTTGCTGTTTTGTTTTTGGAGAGAAAGAGTATGAAGTTGGTGGGGTAAGGAGGGTGGGAAGGATCTGGGAGAGGAGAAAGACTATAAACAAAATAGGCTCTTTTTTAAAATTCAGTAAGAATAATAAACAAATATAAAATAAAACAGTGATCAAGGAGACCACCATCGCTCATCACTCTCCTCCTGGAGTGGGTACACTGTGACCAGGTCCTCAGGCTTTTCCTGCCAAGACGGCACCACCACAATGGGTCGTGACCTCCAACTATGAGCCGAGTTGCTCAAGTCCCCTAAAGTTGCTTTCCAAAATAATAATAATAATAATAATAATAATAATAATAATAATAATAATAGTAAGTTATGAGAAGGTATGTGCATGTGAGTGCATGTAATCCCTGGAGGCCAGAATTGGGCATCAGATCTCCTGAAGCTAGAGTTACAGGCAATTATGAACTACCCAACATGGGCACGTCAGGTCCTTTGCAAGATCAGGACATGCCCTTAGCTACTCACCGAACCATCTCATCTGTCCATCTCATTTGTCGGGGCATTTTATCGTAGCTACAGGACACGTGTGGCTGCACCCATGTGGACTGGAAAAAGGCAGACCTCACAGAGGCTAAGAGCAGTGTTAACAGACAGAATATTGGGTAGAGGGAAAAGCTGTGGAAGATTTGTTTGTTTGTTTGTTTAATAGGCTGTCAAACCCTGGACACAGCACATGCTAGCTAAGCTGTCTGTCCAGCACATATATGGAGAAATATCCACCAAGGAACACTAAGTACTAAGCATCACTATACATAATTCAAACAGGAGCAGGGACTTCTGGTACACAATTGCACAATGGGGTGACTGTTGGTAACAACATGTACCACACAGCTCAGAAGGCTGGAAGAAAAGGGTACTGACCATCTCCACAGATACCAGTGAATTCGGCCTGACGTGAATATTGTACAATGCATTGTGGGTGGAAACCTCACCTGGAATCCCATTAATGTGCACCTTGGAGGCTTCAATTTAAAATGAGGTTTTTAAAAAAAAAGATATATATATATATATATTTTTGTATTTACATCATTTAACTGTGTCATTTGAAATGTGACTGCAGACAACATCGAAAGGGATTGTGGATTTAAAAAATCAGATAACGCCGTAGACATTTTTATAAATGTGCTAGCTACTTTTATGTCAGCTTGACAGAGGCTGGAATCATGAAAGAGGAGGGAGCCTCAGTTGGAAGAAATCACCAAAAGATGGGACTGTAGACAAGCCTGCAGAGCATTTTCTTAATTAGTGACTGAGGCAGGAAGGCACAGTCCATGGTGGGTGGTGCTGAGCGAGCCACAGGGAGCAAGCCAGTGAGCAGCACCCTCCATGGCCTCTGCATCTGCTGATCTAGGTTCCTAACCCACTTGAGTTTCTGTCCGGGCTTCCTTCGATGATGGGCAACAATGTAAGAGTCTAAGCCTTTCCTTCCTTCCTTGTTTTTGGTCATGGTGCTTCATCATAGCTATAGAAACCATGACTAGGGCAGTAAATAAGTCACTGTGCATTGTATTTCACTGAGGAACTAATTGTTCTCCACAGGAGGGCAATACCCTTGCTCTTATCGGTTACTAATCAGCCACAGCTAGAATGAAGCTGGGGTGAGATCTGCCCAATGTCATATTAAGAACTGATAATTTGTGTGTGCGCGTGCATGGGTGCGTGCACGCGTGGGTGAGCTTCAAGATCTCATGTATCTCAGGCTGGCCCCAATTCTATGAAGCCAAGGCTGACCTTGAAGTCATAACCCTCCCCACCTCCACCTCCCGAGTCCTGGGGTTGGAAGTATACAGCATAACCCCCAGCCTATTCAGGGCTAGCATCTTACCC